TGCTTACTTGCCATATCTGTTTAACATTTTGTAATTTACCCGAGGTACATCTCTCAGATTTGCTCTTCTAACATTAACATTTTCATCATCAGTTTGCTGTCTAGCAATAACGTCATCTCTAATATCAATCTCAGAAGGTTCATCATTATTATCTCGTAAATTATCTGGCAGTTCAATATCAGGGTCAACTATACCAGGTTCAACTAACGGACTAACATCCTGCTGCTCACTCACTGTCTCACCTCTCACTGAAACAGGGTCTTTGTCAGATACGTTATCTTGTTGAAGAGAGATAATAGGTCTTCTCAGGCTTTGAATGTGATCAGCATGCTTCCTGATGATGCGTCCTTCATGCTCAATATCATATGTGTTGGATGATTCGCCCAGTCTTCGCACTACTGTGGCTGGTCTCCATTCTTTTCCATCAATCTGGACACGTACTGGCTGCTTTGGACAAAATATTCTAGGATTGCTCTGCAACACTTGCTCTTGTTTGTCAGCTTGCAAGTTTTCCACTTTCTCCTTGTCATGCGGCGTGAGCATGTGTAACTTAGATCTTAATGTCCGATTGTACATCATGATTGCTGGTGTCTGACCTGTGGTTGCGTGCGGAGTGTTCCTGTAAGTTAACAAGAAATTATTGAGATTCTTGTCCAAGTCTTTAGAGTCATTCCACATCTTTTTCATAGAATTCTTGAACGATTGTACCAGTCTCTCTGCGATGCTATTAGATTTAGGGTGGTATGTCGGTGTTGGAATGTGTCTTATTCCGTTTTGCTTGAAGAAAACTCTGAGTTCCTCTGAAGTAAACTGGGGTCCGTTGTCTGATACAACGACACATGGTAACCCAGTTCTAGCAAATATGTGTCTTAGAACTGTAATCAGTGCTCCTGTTTTCGTTGAGTTCATCTTAACAATGTCAGGCCACTTAGAGTAGGCGTCCTGAACAAGTAACCACATGTGTCCCTGGAATAGTCCTGCAAAGTCCATGTGGATGCGCTGGTATGGTCCAGTGGGTCGGCACCACGGATGGTCTGTTAAAGCTGGTGCTGATCTACCAAACTTGTTACATTCCACACATGTCTTTACCATGTTCTCCAAGTCTTGATTAAGATTAGGCCACCAAACATAGCTCCTCGCAATTGTCTTCATACCGCTAACCCCTGAGTGAGTCAAGTGCAACATGTCTAACACTGACTGCCTCAGTTTCACAGGTATTACCACTCGATTTCCCCAGATCAAGCATCCTTGCTCCGTAGATAGTTCGGTCTTCCTTTTCTGAAATTCTTTCATCTCTTCGTTAGTACAGTCTAGTTTTGCTGGCCATCCCTCCATAGTGTAAGCAAACACACGAGATAGAATCGGATCCTTCATCGTTTCTCTGACCACTAGTCCTGCATCTAACAATGCTTCTTCCATCGTGACCTTGAGGACTGTGTCATAAATAGTGGTCTCCTCCTTGTGTTTAGTAGGCGCTGGCAGCCTAGAAAGTACATCACAATTGGCATGATCTTTGGTAGGTCTGTACTTGATGCTATACTGATAACTCATTAAGGTCAATCCATATCGAGTTATTCTAGCTGTGGCCATCTCTGGCAGTTTCTTCTTTGGGTCAAAAATAAATGTTAATGGCTTGTGGTCCGTCACTAACTCAAAATGATTTCCCCACAAATACACATGAAATCTTGTGACCGCCCATACTATAGCTAGGGCTTCACGATCAATCTGACTGTAGTTCTTCTCGGCTTTCGATAAAGTTCGTGATATGTATTCGATCGGTCTTTCTCCTTCTTTGTCCACGTGACTCAACACCGCTCCAAGTCCTCTGCTGCTGGCATCAGTGTCAAGCTTCAACTTCTTGTTAGGATCATACAGCGTCAACACTGCATCAGAACAGAGCATGTCTTTTAATTCTTTGAATGCTACTTCCTCCTTTTTGGTCCATTTCCATGGTGATGATCTCAAACTATCTAGAGGTTCAATAACTGAACTTAAGTTGGGCAGGTATCTACGATAGTAGTTGACCGCACCCAGAAATGAAATTAGTTCGGCCAGGTTAGTCGGTGCTGGAGCTGCTTTCAAATCTGCCACCTTGGATTTTACTGGCTGTATTCCATGTCTTGATATCTGATGACCTAAATAAACAACTGAGTCCTGAAAAAACTTGGACTTAGCCCGGTTACACCGAAATCCTCGTTCCTGCAATCGTCGTATTACCTCTTGAAGATTCTGCAAGTGCTCCCGGTCATCTTTTCCTGATATCAAAATATCATCGATCCTACAGCAAACTTTATCAATGTTTTTCAACGTGTTGTCCATGGTCTCCTGAAAGATACCGCTACTACTTGACACACCGTAGGGTAATCTATTCCATTGAAATAGACCGAGATGAGTGTTTATCACTGTAAGCTTCTTGTCCTTCTCTCTGACTTTCACATGATTGTAAGCAGACTTCACATCGATAACTGAAAACTTCTGTCCTCCAACCATTGAATTAAAGCATTCTTCAGTACTCGGTAAAGGATACATCTTTGTCTCTAGGTGCTTGTTGAGGGTACTTTTGTAGTCACCGCATATCCTTAACTTTGGCCCACGCTCGACAACTACTATAGGCGTAGCCCAGGTACTGCTTTCAACTTTCTCCAAGATATTCTGATCAACCAAGGACATCAACTCATTCTTGACTTTCTCTCGTTGAGAATACGGCAAGTTCCTAGCCTTTAAGAATACGGGTTGAGCTTCTTCTTTCAGCGTGAATTTAGCTTCGACTCCACTGATCTGTCCAATTCCAGGTTTGAATATCTTGTCGTGTTTTAAACTTTCCACGTAATCCGTGATCATCTTCTCAGTTACTATTCCTTCAGAGACTTGGTTGAGAGGGTATCCTTCTTCACTCTGAAGGTCTTTGTCAATCTTTGGCTCTTCGTCTTTACCAATCTTTGACTCTTCGTCTTTGTCAACAACAGACATTACACAAGACGACTCGCCTCTCATCTCACCTAAAACATCTACTGAACATTGAGAATTACATGACTGATCACACTTCACTACACTACTACATAACTTACTACATTTAGAGGGTACATTAGACACAACACGGTCTTTTCCATTGAATAGCTGTTCCAACCAATCGTAACCACAGAAAACTTGAATCCAAGTTCTGCCAAAGAGAGTCGGAAACGGTTCCTCCACAACATACAGCTCCATGTTCTCTCTACATTTACCTTTAAAATTCACTTTAACTTTCATCTTCCCGAGTATAGACTTAATCTCGCCGTTGGCAACTTTCAGAGTGTTCTTCGTCTTTACCAGTGCATCATACACAACTGACGAACTCACACGAGCACTCTCACACAAAGCTTGTACCGTTGTTACGCTCACACTACTGCCACTATCAAACTCCATATTCAAAAAAATATCATCATTAATAGTAACTTTAACCATTGGTTTCTGACAAAAAACATTATCAATTCCAATTTCAAGTGGTTCAATAACATTACCTGACACCGTAACGTTACCTGACACATTCACGTGTCTCACTGACCACTCCAAAGAACTATTGACATCTGGACTCTGACTCTCAATTTCACTCTGCTCTTCAACATTGTGAGTTTTCTTCACAACATAACAGTTCTTCTTGATATGTCCAGTTTTCTTACATTTGAAACATTTAGTTTTGCAGTCGTCCTTAGTGTGTCCACTCAATGTACATCTCGTACATACAACTGAAGCTTTGAATTTGTTCGGCTCCCGTCTCTCCCATGATACTCTGTTAACATCACTCTCGCTCATGTTCATCTGCGCTGCTTCCTCCTCTGTCTTCTCAGCAGCTAAAGCTAACTCTACCGCTCTCTCAAAAGTTAAGTTGGCTTCCCCTAACAGCCTTTTCTTCATTTTCACACTCTTCATTCCAGCAATAAATTGATCAAGCATTCTCTCCTGAAAGTTCTCAAAGTCACAAAAGGTTGCGATTGTTTTCAGTTTGTTGATGTATTGACCAACTGTCTCGTTCACTTGTTTGCAGGAAGAAAACTTATATCTCTGAAGATGTATTGCAGGTTGCGGCATCAAGTGATCTACTAACCTCTTCTTCAGGGTGTCATAGGTGCACAATCTCACTTCATCTGGGTTGCTCAAACTCTTGATTAGCCCATACATGCCACTGTCCAAGTACGATAGGAAAACTGCGGTATTTCCTTGAGTCGCATTCTGCGCATCCGTCCTTGCTGTTTCCACTGCTGCAGCGTTGCTGTTGTCATTAACGAGTTCCGGTATTGCTGGTACCGCTCTGAATAGCTGATTGGCTTGAGCGAACAACTCAAACCTCTCAAACCATGTTCTGCAATCTGCATCTGATGTTAAGAGTTCCAACTGTCCAATAATCCTCGTCGCCATTGTAACGTCTTAGCCGTGGTACAAGAGAAACAGGGAAATCGTGAATCAGGATCTAAACCTAGACCCTACAAAATATAATAGGTGATCAGTTATCAGTCTAAATATAAAATATAGTATCAATTTATAACACCACACTGATTAACTACAATGTTCCAATTTTTTAGAATTATGTCCGACATAATTCTAATTTTTGCTGTTACAGCAGATAGTTATGGTGAAATGGCACGCAGGAATAAGTCATCCCTGTCCTCCAAAAAGCACATGAAAAGGTACTTGGTAAGCCATGTCTTTTCCAATAATAAATCCAATGTATCACAATCTGTGGACTTTTTACTCAAAAACTAGATTGATTAATTGATAATTCATTGCTGATTGTTCACGCGCCCTGTATGGAAGTATAAAAATGGTAATCCGCATACTCCAGGAAGAATTGAAGCAATCTCAAGAGAAAAGAAGGGAATCTGGATCCTTCGTCGGATCGTCACAGAGCTTAGAGGGGAGCTCTACGCTTCACTGGCCATGCAAAGCAGGGAAAGTGACGGAGGCGGAGGCACTGCTGGCTGCTGGAGCGGACATTAACAAGCTGGACAGAGCGCAGATGAACCCTTTCATGGACGCGATCAACTCAGGTAAATCATTTGACCGCCTTAACAATATGGGTTTATCTAACATTGGTAATAGTAGCAAGAGGTTTTAGTCATGCGTTTGATTACAGCACAGTGTGAAACCCTGAAGCATACGTCGAGCTCTAAACTCTGTTTTGTCTGATAATCAATTATTCGAATATTGAAGGATTAAATTTGGTAACTTGATGATCACATAATTAACAGGACAGGTCGACTGTGCTAGATGGCTGCTGAGGCAAGACGGTTGAAAGCTCCAGCCCGAGATATGGTCGTTTTGTAGGGAGAGGGGGCTAGAGTCAGTGCTAACAGCTTAACAGAAGGTAAAATCCTGAACTTTTGTTCATTGATTCTTTGAATCAATGAACAGATTCAAAGAATCAATGAACAATCGTTCAGATGTAAAAATTATTTATTCACTATTTTGCATTACATTTAGTTACAGGACTGACATGCGACATCCGTCGTTGACCTTTGTCTTTATTTCAGCAAGGTACGGAGAGCGATCCATGGCTGTCCCGATAGACCCACTCAGACTCCTGCCGGAAGATACTCCTCCGGTTGATCCAGATGAGACAGTTCTAGCAGATGATCAGTTACAGACTGAAGAACATATCCCACAGATCAATGCGTCAACATCTGCAAATGAAGGTACTTCAATCTGCTCTTCTTGTATGTGTCTTTGTGCCTGCGTCTGTGATTGTACTGAAGTGTACTCTGTGTGTTTGTGCCTGTGTCTGTCTTTGTATCGAGTGTGTGTCTCTGATTGTACTGCGTGTGTCTGTAATTGTAATGTAGTGTACTGAAGTGAACTATGTGTGTGTGTGTGTGTGTGTGTGTGTGTGTGTGTGTGTGTGTGTGTGTGTGTGTGTGTTTTTTCATAGAAGTTGTTATTTCCAAGATACGAAGTTCGAAAAGCTTGCATTTAGTAATAGACGAATTTTGCAGCTGATATCAGAATCGAAATGATGATGGTACTACACGAGATGCTCATGGAAAAGGTATCAGTTTGCTTTCCTCCTCCCACGAGCAGTACAAAGTGTGGGTTCAACTTTAATCTGATAGAAGATATCTATGCGGAACCCAAGCCCGGCTATGTCTGTACATAATAACGAAAGAAAGCGGTAAGTTTTTAATCATGTAAATGTTCGGCCGAACGTTTGCTTTCATTTTAGACTAGTGACGAAAATCAACAATCGTTTGCCAGTTTGGTTAGTAAAGTCGACAAAAAATAGTCCATTCCCCAAGGCCATGATATTCGAATTCTGCCCGTTGAAATCGGCCACTCTGATTTTTATCATTGAACTTTGCATTGATGACATGTTCATTCTCTACAGGTTATGCTGCGAGGGCGTTTAGCTCGATAGATGTTGAAAATGCCCACAGCATTATAAATCATTTGGACCGCCGAGGGGTCCAAAACTCCTCAATCGAAGAGCTTAGTAGACATGTCAGCTACCTACAAAGACTTCAAATTCTCAGGAAAACCTCTCTAGGACGGTAATACATTAACTTGTTTAGTTAATAAATTTAATAAGTAGATTTTGAGTGATGATTACTCAATACTGATATCGAGGTACCATAAAAAGGGTATATAAACTTATCACTTATGCTTATATGCTTATACTCTTATACTATCAATGAATATCAAATCGCCTTCTCTAGTTATCAAACCCAACATAAATTAAATCTCTGCCTACAAGGACTATTCGATATTTACAACAGACCGAGTGAATGTCTCAATCTTTTCAGGAAGCTTTATACTCCGACATCCACAATTTACCACGCCCCTGAGACCGACAAAGGTCTTTCTGATAGATTGACTTCCAGCCAATTCGATCTATCGAAGCCGAGTGGGAAGAACTAAGAACTGAAACCCATGGTCGCAACGATGCTCCTCGCGGACAAGGGAGAGTTAGGGCCATCGGTGGTCACAAGACTGCAGAATATTTATTTTTTAAGCGTTGAGGTTGTCACGAAAGCGTACTGTAACGGGACTGTATCAGATTTGAGGGATTTGATTTTGTGATTCGCAGTTCACGTGATTTTATTGTGATCTTAGACTGTAAAAACTATAAAGGTTCAAGTTGAACTATCGTCGCCATGATTATGTATTTTGGAACTGTTCACGTTGATATTGCTTCGTTAATCAGCAGTCTTCCTTGTATATTGTTCCTTGTATTGGTTACCTTCTACTGTGTAATGCAGCTACGATCAACGATACTTAGCTAGTACATTCATAGTAACTGCACTGAGAAGAGTAAAAAATTTGAGCTTTGACGGAATAACATTTCCTTGTTTTTAGATACGGTTACTATTCTAGTGAGGGGTTCATAGCTGACCATTAAGGTCTTACTCACAATAATTTGTGCTCTGATATTGGCCGTACTGACTGCTGTTGAAAAAGCCACGCCATCAGATGCGCGTCACGAGAGTCCACCCCACTACGTACAATGCAAAATTTGAAATTTTCCCAAAAACTTCTGATTAAGCTAGTTTGTTTTCAATAACTTTTGCAATATTAACAGTAGACCCTTCAAATTTTCACCAAATGTTTCCCTAGACACTAGTTCATCGTAACTGTGTCATAAAATTTTAATTTAGGGACCCAATTTTGTGCAAGACTCCGGTATCTGACGACCGGTCGGGGACGTGGTTATTGTAATGTCAACTTCTGTTGCACACTGAGCGAGCTATATTTTGAGAACAAAGATAAACTTTACACCAGGTGAAAGCTGAGACGTTTCTCTTTAAGATGATCACCTCACATTCTGTGTATCTGTGACATTGAGATAGTAACGATTCAAAACGTCAAGTTGAACAGGCTACAAAATACGCGCTGAATAAAAGTCCACCCCAGGAGTCCACCCCACGCGCGTAGGGTGGTAAGAGGAGGAAGCATCTAAATGTTATTTCCATTTTTGTCCGTTTTTGTCCATTTTTGTCCGTTTTTGTCCGCTCTATTTTATGTCCGTTTTGAAAATATAGGGTACCGAACGGACAAAAAACATGATCCCCCTATAACAGCAAAAATTGAACATTTTATTTAGCAATTTAGGTGTCCATTAATGTCCGCCTATGTCCGCCTATGTCCGTCTATGTCCGCCTATGTCCGCCTATGTCCGTCTATGTCCGCCTATGTCCGCCTATGTCCGCCTATGTCCTGTCCTTTTTGGATTCTATGAGACAAGCGGACATAGACGGACGTGACACCCCCCCCCCCCCCCTATAATTTTAATCATTGAATCAGTATTTTTTCCCGATCCATGACTCAAAGTGCCGAAGGCACAAAAGAGTCAAGGACAAGGGTTAGCGAACGAGGTTTTTTTGTATATGGTAGCTTTCGTCCGTACCTGCGAGCGTGCCTGCGAGCGAGCGTACGTGTCGCCCACGTGTCTGCCTGCGCAAAGTTATTTTGCGCGAAAATCTGAATTTAACAATTGTTGGCGCGCGGTGCTGAAATGTTCAAGTACATTGTTAATTTCACCAGGTACGCATGCCGCTAGGGACTAATTGATAGCATAGTATTATTATTTTGAGTTAGTATTACTATTTTGCACAGGTCCGTGTCAGGTTGCATAAACAATAAACATAGTCATATGGTTACATAGAAATATACACGATTTTCAAATTAAATATGGAATTATATCAACTGGGCGGCGCTCGGCCTGTCACTCCGCCATATCTGCATGCTTATAAACAGTAAAGACTGGGGTCCCTAGATGGTATGGAATATGATCAAATACTCAAACACGGATCGGGAAATTGAGCGGCCATCCACAAAAGAAAAGCGGCCGCATTTCTTGTTATCTGTGCTCTGCGTAATGCATCACATGAATCAGTTTTTAATCTATTAACTTATTACACATTTGTGCTCTGCTTTAGCATCACTTGACTATTTTAAAAAAATTGTTTGTTCAGGCCATGACCTAATAGTCAGCCAATTGGCCATTGCTGAAATTGAATGTAATTTATTCATTCAGGTCTACTATATTTTAAGTGAGCATAATGGGTATATTTTTGGACCTAAAGGCTTTAGTATGGCAACTTTAAAATTGGTTCTTTTAATCATTTATTAAATATCAGTTTAAAAATATATAAATCTGGAATCTGTTCACACTGTAAACCAGTCCTATAAAAATTTCAAAAACCCTGTTAAATTAAATATTAAAAACGTCTCAATAATGGAAATAGTCATACAATTAAGAAATTTACCAAATTCTTAATATCTACCTAAGAGAAAAATACCTAGTCAATGTCTACCTGTAAAACACTAAATATTAGGTTAAATACATTTAACAGGTGATACTCGTAAAATATCTGTTCCATATATTCCAAATATCTGTTCCATATATTGGACGAGTCCAACTCGGCGTGCGTCCTGGTAGGTTGTAAACCTACAAAAATACATAGGTGGTGGAGTCAGCACACATTTAATAATTGTACCGTAAGATTTTGATTTTTTTGTTGGGGACTGGCCCGTGGTACCAGCCAATGTTTACTCAAACAAGAATTGCGCCCGTTGTTTCGTTTTGGCGGACGCTAGATTTCCGTTCACTATATTTATAAATATAAGCTCTAATCAGCTCACTGCATAATAATAATATACACATAGTACACTATACTACGAGTACGCATGCCACGTACAAATTGGGCTCATTACCTAATACTATACATTAATTAATACACTCACGCCGCGCATTTATTGACATGCTAGCTACACATACATCATATCTCCGCAAGCAATACTCGCGCGCTGCACTGCGCGCTAGTTGTCATGGTAACTAACGAAAGGACGGACGACATATTTAAACCCACCTATCTCGTTCTCCAAAATCCACGTTTTTCTGCAAAAACGTCCATTCGTAACCTTTCACTATTGTCTTTTTACAAAAGAGTGTGAACGGAAAAAATATATATAATATCAATGGTAATAAGAAAATCATCCCCGTGGGGCACATGCATAAATATAAAATGTTAAGGAAATCTCAAACTATTCAATTTAGACTCTACCGGTAAAGTATGCAATGCAGGTTTATAACTTAAAGTTTAATTTTCTAATGGTTAATAGGTAAAGATTAAAAACAGTAAAACAAGACTGAGCACTTCAAAATTTGTAGAATTTGTAACTTGATTTGAAATACGCGGCGATAAAAAAGAATGTCCAATGTTGGCAGTGTAAATGATGAGATATGCGACGTTTATTGAGTGATGCATAAGTGTGTGCATATAATCTAAGATGTAGAGACAAGGTTATTATCGGCATTTTGGTTTATGTTACCCTTTGATTTTCTTAGTCCTGTTATACAAAATAACATGAAATTAGGCCATTCGTCTTCGATGTTTTCATTTTGCTGATCGATGAGCATAGTTTTTATACAAGTTTTGTAAATGTTCAGGTTAAATAGACTAGGCGGGGAAGTTGCTGCAACATTATATCGGTTTATTGCTAATAATGGACCTTTAAAAAATACTGAGTTGTTGTAGGGGTGTTGACCATACTTTTCTGACCATTGTGTAGTGAGAATAGAATCCGTGTTAGTATTAAATAATGGTGCGCTTTTGGGAATTGTTTTCTTGAGAGACAATGGTACTAGATTAGGAAAGTTTTTCAATTTATGCATTAAAATGAGTGCGTTCTTTACAATGATACTGTGTACTGTCAATATTTTATGTAAATAAAAGCCAGACTTAGTACTTGCTGGGGGGATACCGTCCTTGTACCAGTAATTGACGAAACCAGGTAATACTGCACGAAGGCCCATTTTCTGTTTTACAAAAAGTGATTCAATATGAGACTTAGCAGCAAAACCCCATACAAGGCTGCAATAATTAAGGTGTGACTGCACAAAACTTTGATAAATTTGAAGACGTGCTTCGAGAGGCAGATATTTTTTAAGTTTGTACATGACTCCTATGTATCTGGACATTTTCATTTTCATGGCAGAGATATGATAGGACCAGTTTAGTTTATCATCTATTATAACTCCTAAAAAACGGGCTTCTGTTTTTCTCTCAATTGTGACACCAGAAATTGTCACATCACGATAATTAAGATT